CAGAGCGCTCCAACGGTATTCGCGTGCTCTAATTGGTCAGTGTTATCTGTTAATATCTCCTGAACGAAGCCTCGGACAACATTTTCGCTAAGGAAAAAGTTGTTTCAAATCACCTCCCGAACCACCTCTTTGAATGTGTTACAACATTTTTGGGATACCCTGTATATTGGTATATTCGTATACTAGGTACACCCTGTATATCGGTATATTCGTATAATAGGGACACAGAAATGCGACGCCCCCAAAAATCTGGCGCCCCCCCCCCCCCCCTCTCCTAACGCCGACCCTGATACCTCAATATCGTCGACAGGAGATAGGGTCTCACTTGATATTATTCAATTAAAGACCGACGTTAGCGGAAAACAATACTTTATTATAAAATTCGGTGATACAAACTGGTATGCGCGCGGTAAAACTGATAACTACCGGATGGAAAACTAGGGCCATTTATGGATTTCGGAAACTGGACTTTGGGGTATAACTGTATGAGAAAGGAAGGAGAGTTTGGAAGCTGAAGGGTCAGGAATGAGTAATAGCGAAAAATATTTACTATGAGTGTATAACAGTACGTTTGGACGTGTTTCGTCAGGTTTCTTTTATACCATTTCAATCTTATATTATTAATTATATTATATTTACAAGTTTCTCACGTGTCTAATTTATTCACCACCCTCGATCATCCCAAAATCTACATACATGTATTTTTTAATTAAATTATAGATTTAATATTTACAAATAAATTTATTATATATAAATATATATACATAAATAAATGATATTTCGAATAATATCACTTGAAGAGTTCCCAAGTTTGATGTTCCAGCAATCCAAAATAAGTTGAAGCAATGTTTCTTCAGATTAGCATACTTGGAACTTGATTGAGAAAGTGATGCTTGAATTCCGGATAATTGAGCTTCGATAACGTGGAAAAGGTTAAGAACCACCGACTTAATCGGTCAAGGCTTATCTCGTTCGACGTATTTACCCGTTACAAAACGAACGACCTAGCCAGACGGTGTGATTAACGTGCGCACAGCTGATCCGGTTTAATTACGTCCAATCAATAAGTTCGGAGTGGTTCCTCTCAAGGTTCGATGCATTTGAATCCCACGCTTCGAGGGCTTTGGACGGCCTTCGCGGTTCCTGGATTTTAGGTGAATGAACCTGCAAGCATTATATTCGTGTTACTACATTTTACAGTGATAAAGAGTGAGTGTCGATGGAGAGAGAAACAAAGTTTTGTTTTCAGAACACGGTACTTATTCGATGGTTATTGATTTGCGGTTTAATATTAGGAATTTTTAAATAAGTTGAATGGAGTCTGGCCACTATGGGCGTTTCAGCGCACGGCGAGCATTTGAACTAGTAGCGCCACATGGTGTAAAGCATTCAGAACTGTAGGACATCTATGAAATATTATTATGATGTATTTGGAGCATTCTACTTCAAATCGGACGGTTTAAAAGATTTTTGCTTTTGATTTCTTAATTTTATGGTATTTTTTAGTACCCCACAAAAGAGGCTTCCTTGTAAATTTTGAGATTTTTTTGACTATTAGTTCAGAAAAAATCGAATTTTCAAAAAAACGCTCTTTTTTCTTTTTTTTTTCTTTTTATAACTTTCTTAATAATGGTCGAAATTCAATTTTCTTTTTTTCAAAATTTTCGTTTTCAGATGCCCTCTACAGAAGCAATACAAAGAAATATTTAAAGTGTTTTAGCCGCAAACTTCGAATTTGGTATCAGAATTGTAACACTCGAGATGGCGGATCCAATATGGCCGACATATACAGGGTGTCCCAAAAGTCAGGGAGGAGCCGGAAATGGGGGGTAGCTGAGACGATTCTGAACAACAATTTCCTTTGCAAAAATGTCGGATGGGGCTCCGTTAAGGAGATATTAAGCGAAAACCCCGACCAATCAGAGCGCGCGTAGACCGTTGGAGCGGCCGCGGTAGCGAAGGCTACGCGCTGGCGGCCGCGCCTGTACGCGAACAAGTGACTCGACGTGCATCGAAGGACATTGACGCAGCCGCCTAGCGCCGTAGCCATCGCTACCGCGGCCGCTCGAACGGTCTACGCGCGCTCTGATTGGTCGAGGTTTTCTCTTAATATCTCCTTAACGAAGCCCTATCCGACATTTTTGCAAAGGAAATTGTTGTTCAGAATCGTCTCAGCTACCCCCAATTTCCGGCTCCTTCCCGAATTTTGGGACACCCTGTATAATTAATTATTTTTGCAAAGGAAATTGTTGTTCAGAATCGTCTCAGCTACCCCCCATTTCCGGCTCCTCCCCGACTTTTGGGACACCCTGTATAATTGAAAAGTTACTAGATTCTCATGAAACTTAGTATTTATGACTTAGTTGAGTCACAAACTTTGAATCTGATATCGGAATTCCAAAATTCAATATGGCGGATCCAATATGGCCGACTATATGATTATTAATATTGATATGATTTATTAATTTTTAATTCAATCTTTTAAATAAAATAGCAATGCTAGAGAAAAGAGAAATACTCGTCGTGTAATGGCTCCAACATCGCTGGTTTATTTAAAAATTCTGGATAATAGGTATTTTGATATTATTTGTATGTATTCCAAACTCAAGCCTACACTTTCATCAATTCTAATTACCTTGAACTGTGTGACATTACAATCGTTTGATTTACATATTGAATAACATATCGCTTGCGGCATAGATTGATATAAAATTCATTGACCGAACGTTAACCACAGTAATTACAAATATTTACGACGTAGGCTAAACACTTCCTTGAGATTACGAAATGGCAGCGACAGGTTGCAGAACGTCCACTTGTTATGCGCGGAATGTTGTTCAAAAGTGAACAGAAACGAATAAAACGAAACAAGTTCCACAAGGTCAAACGAAATCGACACTCATTATTTAAGTTTTTTGCTCGTAGTATTTTGAAAAGTCAAGAAATGTCGTCTGGATAGTTGAGATACACGATTGACATTAATGATAAATAATTAGCAATTGTAATTATATTTTTAATGAATATATAAATTGCAATTATATTTTTAGATCTTCACATTTAAAGATAATTATTCTGTTTCTTTATGATATCTTCAATAATCTTGGGAATTTAACATTTATGGTGAACATATAAATTATACACACGTATTATTATATAATAAAGTAAATTTGGATCAATTATTGCTATAAGTGAATGCTACATGTAAAAACAATTATACAAATTATAAAACAACACGGGCATTTAAAATCAGACGACTGCAGCATTATGTTCGAAAAGAAGATCATATAATAAATTAATCTACTCTATTATAAATTCAACGTGAAATGTTCGATAACATTTTTAAAACACGTTTAAAATAAATTGAAATAAAACAAAGGCTGTGAAACCCATCAGAAATCCATTTAGATTACAAACATCAATAATCAGGCAAAATATATTTTCGATCTTTCAAGCGCGATAGATTTGCTCGAATGTAAACAAAATACGGGCGCAAATCCACCGTGATAATTAAAATACGCGTGTGAAAGTAGCAACACGTGGTAGCTTCGTTATAACGCGAAACAGCGTTTAATCCAACGACGAGGTAATCCACGAAACGTGTGACAATTCTGCGGAGTACGTGGAATGAATCGACTCATAAATAAACAAAACCAGGAACCAGTGTTTCGAAGACAATAAAATAATAAAATAATCAAAGAAAATAAAAACAAACGTGAAGAAAATAGGAGAGGTTAAATTGATAAACAAATTGCATTGCCTTCGTTGAATTACTGTGAAAGAACTCGCTGTACGATATATAATAATTAAATAAAAAATAAAGAAAACTATGGCGAGAAAATGTTGCCTGTCTTGTAGTTTTGTCGCACTGCGTTTCCTTGAACGATTTTAAATTCCAATCTCCACTTAACTTGAAATCTTTATGTGGATTCTATTATACAGGGTGTCCCAAAAATGTTGGAAGTCTTTGAATGGGGTGATTCGGGAGGTGATTTGAAACAACTTATTTCTTAGCAAAAATGTTGTCCAAGGCTTCGTTGAGGAGATATTAAGGGAAAACCCCGGACCAATCAGAGCGCGAGTAGGCCCCGGTAGGCGTGGGCTACGCGCTAGGCGACCGCCCTCCGCCGACATACTCGCGCTCTGATTGGTCTGGGGTTTTCCGTTAATATCTCCTCAACGAAGCCACGGACAACATTTTCGCTAAGGAAAAAGTTGTTCCAAATCACATCCACCCTGTATATACAGGGTGTCCCAAAAATGTTGTAACACCTTGAAAGGGGTGGTTCGGGAGGTGATTTGAAACAACTTTTTCCTTAGCGAAAATGTTGTCCGAAGCTTCGTTAAAGAGATATTAACAGAAAACCCTGGACCAATCAGAGCCGGCGGACTGCCCGCGGTAGGCGTGGGCTACGCGCTAGGCGACCGCCCTCAACCGGCATCCTCGCGCTCTGATTGGTCGAGGGCTTTCTTTTAATATCTCCTCAACGAAGCCTCGGACAAAATTTTCGATAAGGAAAAAGTTGTTTCAAATCACCTCCCGAATCATCCCTTTCAAGGTGTTACAACATTTTTGGGACACCTTGTACATGATAGATTGCATGTATTAATTAAAAAATTGTACCAATATTTTCGTTACTGTAGAATAGAATATAATTAAATTGTAATATTTAGTAAAATAATAACTGTCGTATAATTTTGTTGCACTGTGTTTCCTTGCACAATTCTAAATTCTAATCTCCGCTAGAATATTATCGTTACTGTAGAATGAAATATAAATGGGGCATTCCACGCTAAATCGGACGGTTTAAAAAATTTTTTTTTTATTTTAATTTTTTGGTATTTTTCGGTACCCCTCAAAAGAGGCTTCCTGGTAAATTTTGAGATTTTTTTTATCACTGGTTCAAGAAATATCGAATTTTCAAAAAACCGCTCTTTTTTGTTTTTTTGGTCATAACTTTCTTAACAATGGTCGAAATACTATTCGTTTTTTTTTCAAATAAAAAAAGAACTTAGATTCGTGTAAATGTTTCATCGACTCGCAGCTCTAAAAAAATAGTGAACGAATGAATCCACGGTCCTCGGGAGAAGTGTCGCTGATTGTCGTGAAATTCGTTGCAGTTTTCTTGGACAATAAAAGCTCTATCCTTCTTGAGTTCTCTGGAAGCTCTTTGTTCTAAAACAGTCACGTCCCCCGAGACGAACGGCGAAAGACACAATGAATGCCTTTCATTCCCGCGATTTATCACAATGTTGCATATCGTCGGTGCACCAGTCAATGCGGAATAATGCTCGACGATGTGCTTTTATAATAACGTGCAAAGATGATAGAAACACGTGCGCATAACGAGTGGAAAGTTAATGAATCTACTTTTGTCAAGCTATTAATTTTCATTAGCATTCGAGGGATGGCAAATATAAAATTGCATAGTCTGGAAGGATAAAGATGAAACATTTTGGTTAGTATGGTAATGTTAATAAATAAAAATGTATGTGTTGTATATGATGGTACGTGGAGGATTAAATTACTGAAAATAGAATTAGGGGAGGTTGGTGGTAATTAAAAAAAGAAAGGATGCCTATTTATGGCATCAGATAATATTTCTAAACATTAACATCATTGTTCAATGTCGTTCAAGGGCATTTATTATCCTTTATTGTCATTCAATGTCGTTCAATCATTTTCAGTGTCATTCAATGTCGTCCAATGATTTTCAATGTCATTTATTGTCATTCAATGTTGTTTAATGTACGTTGAAGAACATTTAACCACATTGATCGATATTGAACAATATTGAACAACAGTGAATTATGTACGTTGAACAACACTGAAAGACATTCAACAACATTGAACAATATTAAATAATATTGAACATATTGAACAAAAATTGAACAATATTAAACAAACAGTGAATTATGTACATTGAACAATACTGGACGACATTGAACAATACTAGACGACACTGAACAATATTGAAGAATATTGATCAAAATTTAATAATATTGAAGAAAATTGTACGTTGAACAACACTGCCGTTGAACAACATCATATGGTACATTCAACGACATTGAAGAATATTGAAGAATATTCAACAGTGAACTATCATTGAACGACATTGAATGACAATAAATGGTAATAAATGACATTGAACGACATTGAATAACAATAAATGATAATAAATACCAAAACTGTCAAAACTGACGCTCCCATACATGGATGCTTCGAAATTTATAAAAAAATCTACTATAACAAGCCTGCTGATGTTTATGCAGAATCATACATTTCACAGTTACATTACAAAAATTTAAACTTAAACCCCTATCCTCTCTTCTAAACTATACAACATTCAGCAGTCCAATTATACTGTAATTAATTTTCCCGTTGCGCATTTACACGCATTAATAAACACTTATAAATTAAAACCCAGAATTTCAGAATAGCGCGATGCTTTCTGCTGCGGCGTAATATTTTCTCTTCCGGTTTCGTTCTTTGAGCGTGGTTTCATTACGTTCTCCAAAAAGGCAAAAAAAAGGAATTTCGCCATTTTGTTGGTGCCCGGTTTGTGTAGGAGCGTTCACTTACACGAGGAGATACGATGCGGACGTGTACACGTTAAAGAGGGATTAGTAGGTACATGAAGAGCGAAGTTGCAAGGGATTACGTAGAACGGGTGGTTTAGCAAATACGCAAACGTGCCCGCAGTAGTGCAATATCGGCCCAGCTCTTATGAATCATTGAATTAGAAATGCGACTTTAATTTGCAATTTGTCAGTCTGCTTATGATCGCTGTGACTACATAGGAATCGTTTTCGTATCACAATTAGAGAACTTTTAAATGTTGCATGATTATGGTCAATGTCCTCAGATGTCGTTCAATGTCGTTCAATGTTGTTAAATATCCAACGTACATAGGTCACTGTTCAATTTTGTTCAATATTCTTCAACATTGTTCCATTTGATTCAATTTGGTTCGATTTTGTTCAATATTGTTCAATATTATTCAATTATGTTCAATATTCTTCAATATTGTTCAATGTGATTAAATGTTGTTCAACGTACATAAGTCACTGTTCAATTTTGTTCAATATTATTCAATATTATTCAATTTTGTTCAATACTATTCAATTTTGTTCAATATTAATCAATTTTGTTCATTCTTCTTCAATATTGTTCAATGTGATTAAATGTTGTTCAATGTACATAGTTCACTGTCCAATTTTGTTCACTTTTTTTCAACATTATTAAATTTTGATCAATATTCTTCAATATTTTTCAATGTAGTTCAATGTGATTTAATGTCGTTCAACGTACATAGTTCAATTTGGTATAATTTTGTTCAACATTGTTCAATATTATTCAATTATGTTCAATATTCTTCAATATTGTTCAATGTGATTAAATGTTGTTCAACGTATATAGGTCACTGTTCAATTTTGTTTAATATTGTTCAATTTTGTTCAATATTCTTAAATATGGTTCACTGTTGTTCAATGTGATTTAGTATTGTTCAACGTACATTGTTCAATTTTGTTCAATATTCTTAAATATGGTTCAATGTCATTGAATGTGGTTAAATGTTGTTCAACGCGCATAGTTCACTGTTGTTCAATATTATTAAATTTTGTTCCCTATTCTTCAAGATTGTTCAATGTCATTCAATGGCCTTCTGTGTATTCTAATATCGTTCAATGTTGTCCAATGTCCCTTTATATTTCTTTACCGTTGTTCAATGATGTTCAATCACCCCACCACAACATCAAATAAATTATATCGACAATATTTTATGATATAATTGCTACCCAATTTCAGTCCACTTGATACTGCTACTTGAAAGCTTCATTAACCACTGAAGTGTTTGTTCTGAGTATATGACCAATTAATCTATTTTTACGTACTTACAGTGCTAAAATTATGTTTGGATTCATTTGGAATAAAAAGCACACCTTATAACCGACGCAATAGCTTGTTAAGTGGCTGATATTATCTCTGACGTCGTCGCAGTACAAGTTAACGCTTCGTTACGCCAACGCAGTTAGCTTTAGTAATCATTTTATAAATACGATGTTCCTGTATTTCTTTTAAATCTTCTCTGTACTTCATCGATTACTTCCAACCGAATTATACCTATTATTGGGTTATCTGGTTTCTTTCTTTTAGAGAAGATTGCTCCAGTCGGTGCTTTGAAGACGGGACTCTTTGTTTTTCTTGAATTTAGGGAGTCTCCTAGAACTTTTGGAGCCTTGTTTCTTCCAACTAATATTTACTTCGTTCAATTATTATTTTTCTTATTATATGTATGATTAAATCATTAATGTATGATTAAAGAATTAGTATTTATAAAAGCAGATTTCCAATTGATTTTATCTTTTATTAATTTTTATGGAATTTATTAATTTCATGAATCATATTTATTTTATTTTGTTTGTGTAGAGTCTTTTAGAGAAACTTATTTTCATTATATATAATCAGTTAATTGAAGTGATTATCTATGTATCTTTATTTACGTATTCGTGAATTTTCTGTTCTATTTTTGGTCAAAGGAAAATTATATTTTATGATTAGTATTATTTTTCTTTCCTAAGCACTACGGACTCACCTAATTAAAATATGATGAAATTAATAAACAAAATTAAGTTCCTTACAGATTAAAATTTTGTATACTACTATAGTAACTAGGTTCTTTGAAATATAAGATTTTTAATTGAAGGTTAAATTAATAACAGCACTTGGAATCATTATAGTTTACACCTGGTTTTTGTATTTTCATTGAACTTCTTAATTTGTATAATTTTGTTTACAACAAAGACGTATCATATATTAATACAATTTGTCCTTTGCTTTTAAAATAAAGGATACGAACTATCAGTACACTTTACTGCATTATTCTGAATGAATTCTTCATTCATATTATTCATCAATGGCGTAAACACAATTTTCTTCAATCATATTATTTTTCAATAGTATAAACATAATACTTTTCATTAATAATTGTCCTTAGTGGTATAAACATGATTTTCTTCAATCATAATCTTCTTCAATTTACTGTCCTGAAATAAAGTATGAGGAAATTAAATAAAAATTACCATACAAACCCTGATGTTGTAAACACAATCTTCTTCATTAATTTCAAGGTAATCCACCAACAAAACAAAATAAAAATTAAATACACGTCGCGAAACTCTTCATAATTTTCAGAAACATGCATTAAAGTCTCGAACAGATTAAAAAACAATGCTTGGAGTAATAACCTTATCAATTTAACTTTCCAATTCACAATTATCAATTGCAATTTTATGACAAAACAAACTGACAAACTCCCAATTAACAATTAAATTCTGCAAATTATAATATAATCTTTATTGATTAAATATCGACACCCACCAGCGTGTTTTATCAGCGCTAATCAGTTTGTTATAATTGTCTCCGGAAGTGAACCAGTAATGGAAGCATTTAACATTGAATGATCAACATTAGCATCACGTTTCAAGGTTACGAGATCATTGTGAAGTAGTTGCATTCATTTTATGATGTAACGCTATGCATAAGCGTGCAACGTACGGACAGTGCCGTAATAAGCACGTGGGCTTTGATATGGGCATTAAAATTTTGAAATAAGCTTTCAATATTCAAATTTGTGATGACACAAATGGTGATTTTATGAAAAACATGCTTTATCAAAATGCTCTGTATGTATCGATGCCATTTTTGGCAAGCTTAAAGCACTGTTCTGGTTATTCGAAGTGAGTAAAGCTTGGACCCATTCCTCTAGAAGTTGAGGATTGCTTGGAACCCTGAGAAATATAAATATGTATCTTTCCTTGATGGTACAGTAAAATGGTTAACCCTTTGCACTCGAGAGGAGACTCTCTAGGTGACTCACTAGGTTTTCTTTAGGTTTCATTTCTTTGGAACTCGAAGTGCCAATAAAATAATTACCGTTGAGGCAAAGGTGACCTGATTCTCAGATCTCAAATTAGAGATCTCATTTTCGAAGTCAATATAATCTTAGCATTCGTGGGAATAGAATGCTAAGAAAGCATATCGAGTTGCTGGTAAATACCAGAAAAAAAGGCCTCGAGTGCAAAGCGTTAATGATTAAAGGCAGTAATCATGTTGATTAAAAATAATATGTATATACAATATATGCAATATGTAATTATATGTAAATACATTAAATATAAATAATAATTATAATTATGTAAATAATATACAAATATAACAATATATACAAATTAAATATGAATGTAAGGCAGAAAACCCATGCAATTATATAGTAAATAATAAGTACAAGATAAACTAGTTTTTGAGGTTAGGTTAATACAAATTTACAACTTACATATATATAATGATACAAATTTCGAATCTCTTGCTTTTTTTGCTTTATATCTTGTGTTTTTGCATAATTCTACCAAAACAATAAAGAACCATTGTTTCAGTTCTTGCACTTTATATCTTATATTTGTATATATCTTACTCTGATTGCATGTTCCACTCAGTCCCAATCCCTATCACGCAGTTATGAGTGATTATTAGTTCTTAATTTGGCCGCTTTTGGGACATGGCGTCGCTATCGGTCTTGGAACGCAGAATTGCCACGGGCCCTTCGTGGACTCGTTACGGCACTGCGTGCGAACACCTCGAGGTCCTCGCGGAATTAATGCGGTGCATCGTGTACGGTTACGCAACCGCCACGAAAGGTGAGTTGCACCGTTCCGTGGCACTCTGTGACATTAATGTGTCACGGTTGTTGCTACCGGCAATGTCAAGGGAACGTGTATGAAATTTACTCGGCTGCATCGGAATATTGTGCCGCGTTAGTTACGCGGGACACGTACTTACAGACCACGACATTTAGTTCCATCGAGTGACGCCTTTGTAGGTGAAACTTCTACTCTTGAAACGAACAGAGTGACAGGCACTATTTGTCACGACGGTAATTCCATTATTCGAATTAACAGCCAGGCACGAGTGTTCCTTTAAATTAAAGGCTTTAATATAGAGGAAGGACGCGCCGAAGATCATAGCTACATTCAACGATTTCTTTCTTCGAAGTTAATTGATCTTTTTTTATTTTATTTTATTTCTTTATTTTATAGTGAGATTTTTGTTGATTATATCCCCTTTTCCTGTTAATATTTTCATTTTTTCTCATTATCTACATTTTTTTTTTATATGGATTTATTTTACGCCGCATCTACAGCATGAATAAAAGTTTAATTAGAAACGAATTCGATTGGGTTTCTGATTAATTAACGGTGTTATGTACTACTGTAAAGTTTGGTCTCCTTAAAGTAATTGATGGTATTTTGCACATGTTTCTAGGAATATTAGTGCTATTTCTAGGTTTAGATTATTTTTCCACTCTTATTTTTATTATTTTATATATTGTAGATTTCGTAATGGTTGCGTTATGAATATTTGATTAATTTAGATTTTAGGTATTCTTTAAAGGTAAATATTTAAATGTTTATTGCAATTGTGTTTTAGATGTAATGTAGGAACGTGATGAAGTGTTGGAGACTTTGTAAACAGTTTTTATTAAATATACAAATGTCTAATTGAAACTATATACAGGGTGTCCGAAAAATGTTGGAGGTTCTTGAAAGAGATCCGGGGGGTGATTTGAAACATTTTTTTCCTTAGCGAAAATGTTGTCCGAGGCTTCGTTAAGGAGATATTAGAGAAAACGTCGGACCAATCAGAACGCGAGTACGCCCGCGGTAAGCGTGGGCTACGTGCTAGGCGACCGCCCTCCGCCAGCATACGCGCACTCTGATTGGTCAGTGTTTTCCGTTAATATCTCCTTAACGAAGCCTCGGACGACATTTTCGCAAAGGAAAAAGTTGTTCCAAATCACCTCCACTCTGTATATACAGGGTTTCCCAAAAATGTTGTAACGCTTTGAAAGGGGTGGTTCAGGGGGTGATTTGAAGCAACTTTTTCCTTGGCGAAAATGTTCTCCGAGGCTTCGTTAAGGAGATATTAACGGAAAACCCCGGACCAATCAGGGCGCGAGGGCGGCCGCCTAGTGTGTAGACCACGCCTACTGCGGGCGTTCCACCGGCATCCTCGCGCTCTGATTGGTCCGGGGTTTTCCGTTAATATCTCTTTACCGAAGCCACGGACAACATTTTCGCTAAGGAAAAAGTTGTTCCAAATCACATCCATCCTGTATATACAGGGTGTCCCAAAAATGTTGTAACACCTTGAAAGGGGTGGTTCGGGAGGTGATTTGAAATAACTTTTTCCTTAGCGAAATGTTGTCCGAAGCTTCGTTAAAGAGATATTAACAGAAAACCCCGGACCAATCAGAGCCGGCGGACTGCCCGCGGTAGGCGTGGGCTACGCGCTCGGCGACCGCCCTCCGCCGACATACTCGCGCTCTGATTGGTCCGGGGTTTTCTGTTAATATCTCCTTAACGAAGCCTCGGACAACAGTTTCGCTAAGGAACAAGTTGTTTCAAATCACCTCCTGCATCACCTCTTTCAAGGTGTTATAATATTTTTAGGACACCCTGTATATTGCGGTTCCTCCAACACAAGCAAGTAGCGGACGGTTGTTTCCTACACCAGGAAATGTTGTAACAGCTAATCGAACTAAATCACTGTCCAAAATTGTTGAAAAACTTGTTTTCCTAAACAAAAATTTAAAATAAAATATCTTGTATCCACTATTTTCATAATATGCTATTTTTATTCTATTTTCTAATTTAACTAAAATCCATAATCTCGTAATGTGTTATTTTCATTCTAATTTCTAGTTTTTAAATTTCATAATTTCTTAATAACCCATTCTCGATTTCCGTTATATTTGAGAGCGTTCTGTTTCTCTAACTGGAATCGATCTACATATTTTTGAGTGAGCTGTTTGCGATTATTGACATAAATCAGGCGACACGATAACTTCCTTTGTTACCGAATTTTATTGCAGGTTTAACGGAAACACGAATATAGCTGCGACGATAAATGCTACTTTACGTTTATAGGCGTTAATAGATTATAAAGATCACGTCCTGTTCCTCTATTGAGCGACACTCCTGTGTTTGACACGTCTGTTCCATTAGCAGATGAACCGACCGTTTTCTCGGATAAGTGTCCCCTAGGTGATCCTCCGATGTATTAGTTGGTCACTACTGAATACAATGCGTAAATAGTTGGGATAATTAGAGACGGAGTAAAAAAAATAGGAGTAGTACAAAGAAATGATAATAACGAATAACAATGGGGACATAATTTTCATATGAAATTGTTACTCTTGTAAATATAAAAAAACAAATAAAAAAAAATAAATAAATAATTTGGAATGAAATGACTTTTATGATCTTATTGTAAATAAATTTTCAACCATCTTCGCGTAAAGTTTCACAAATTGGATTCAACATTCTTTCTTAAATATTAACTACTACTTACGATTCCTTTTCTAAAAAAGAAATTATGATTCATCAAACTTTTCTTACCTAAAGAAGTACAGTTTTTAAACTTCACCGTCCATACTAGTAGCTACACAACTACGCGCGTAGATCTGCATTCTTCGCGTTATTTTCGCGATAACCCGGGCGTCGTAAATCCCATTGTTCCCTGTATAATGGTTGCCACTCACGATTGCGCAATTATAGTGCACGTAATGTCAAAGACAATCAGATTTCGTAGAAGTTTCCTGCAAGGGGTTCCTGTTGATCCACTTGAAGCCAAATGGCAATCAATTTTCCTCTGCGTTGGTGATGCAGATCGTGTTTGATGTCAAAGGAATTGAAAATCAGTGTAATTCGCGATTAAGAACGTTTTGTTAACGTATTTTAATTTTAAATTGTATGTAAACGAAATTGGATATCTTTGGAAATATTTGTAAATAATATAGAAATGTATAGAGAAACATTGTATATTTTTCTATAATGTCTTGGATGTTTATACAATCTTTATTATTACATTATTATCTATTATTATAAATTGTTATATATATAGAGGGTGTCACAAAAATGTTGGAGGTGATTCGGGAGGTGATTTGAAACAACTTTTTCCTTAGCGAAAATGTTGTCCGAGGCTTCGTTAAGGAGATATTAACGGAAAACCCTCGACCAATCAGAGCGCGAGTATGCCGGTGGAGGAGGGTCGCCTAGCGCATAGCCCACGCCTACCGCGGGCGTTCTCGCGCTCTGATTGATCCGGGGTTTTCTGTTATTATCTCCTAAACGAAGCCTCGGGCAACATTTTCGCTAAGGAAAAAGTTGTTTCAAATCACCCCTCGAACCACTCCTTTCAAGGACCTCCAACATTTTTGGGACACTCTATATACCTAGCTTTCTTATAAGAATACTCATTATTATTTTCAATAATACATTTTCTATCTATGTACAGTAATGTCACGTTGGGCGCACAAATTTGTATACGATAAGTGCACGGTATACTTCTTGAGTAGTCGAGTAGTTCGATCGCCGAATTTTGTATATCCTCTAATGTTTGCCGCCCGAGTTTCGTATATTCTCTGATGTTTGCCGCCGAGCGTCGAACGTAGACAAGGACAACGAGTAAAGAGTAGGAGGAAGCGAAAACACCGTTGTATATCGGTGAAACAATGTAATCCAACGATGAAACTTTCTTCTTATTCACTTTTTTGTTGCAAAACGTTTACCATCATATTCCTGACATTTTTCTAATTAAAATGAGGTCAAAC